TGCTTCAGTTAAAAAAAAAAAAAAATCGCAAACTCATAACCCTGCTGAAGACACTCAGGGACACGACCTCAGCGCATCTCCTGAACCCCTCAGACGCATACAGAGAAAGAATCAAAACCATTACCACCCAAATCAACCAAATAAACCTTGACAAAACGGCATACATGCTTACCAAATTAAAAATGAAAACGTACACACAGGGCAACAAAGCAGGGAAATACCTAGCTACAATGCTAAAGCAAAAACAAGCCAACTCCAAAATACCATACCTCATAGCCAAAAATGGAGAGAAGCTACTAAATCCTCAGGACATTAACGATGAAATGGCTGAATATTACCAAAATCTTTACAACCTGAAGGACGACCCAACTGTCCACCAACCTACCCCACAAGAAATAAACACATTTCTGCAACAGGCAAGTCTGCCAACACTATCCCCAACCCAAGCGCAATCCATACAAGACCAAATAACCACACAAGAAATCTTAGAGGCCATACAAGCCCTACCTCCCGGGAAATCACCAGGTCCTGATGGGCTAACAAACCTGTATTACAAACAATTTGCCCCACTCCTAGCCCCCTACTTGCGAAAACTATTCAACGATGTCCTGATCACAGGAACTATGCCAAGGGAAATGTTGATGGCACATGTCGCTACCCTCCCAAAACCAGGGAAGCTGCCAGACAGAAGCCAAAATCTGCGCCCAATATCTCTATTGAACACAGATGTGAAGCTCCTTGCAAAAATCTTCTCGAACAGACTAACAACCATCATCCCAAACCTGATCGGAAGAGATCAAGTGGGGTTCGTGGGAGGTAGACAGGGGGCAGACGGCACGCGCAAAATCCTCAACATGCTACACGGAATACGAGGAGGAGGGGCACCAACAATACTACTCTCGCTGGATGCCGAAAAGGCCTTTGATAGGCTCCACTGGCCCTTCCTCCTCGAGGTCCTCCGACGATTTCACTTCCCACCCCAATTCTTAAAATTGATCACGGCACTCTACTCAACGCCAACAGCCCGAGTGGTGAATGGAGGCTTCATATCCAAACCGTTCACCATCTCAAACGGCTCCAGACAAGGCTGCCCACTTTCCCCCCTACTATATATATTGGCATTAGAACCCCTAATCCAACTAATTAGAGAAAACCCCAACATACATGGAGTCAAACTCAAAGGCCAGGAATACAAACTATCCCTGTTCGCTGACGACATCCTTCTCACCCTAGAACAACCCCATATATCCCTTCCAAATTTCCACCACCTCCTTACCCAATACAGCCGATGCTCCTACTATAAGCTAAACATATCAAAAACGCTAGCCCTAGGGATCAATGTTCCAGCTCAAGATATAATCAAGTTGAAAACCAATTATACGTACAACTGGAGACAAGATCATATAACATTCCTGGGAGTGAATTTTACCCCCACGCCAAACTCACTTTTCAAAGCGAACTACCTCAAACTACAAAGCGAAGTCAAAAGTCTTCTACAAAGCTGGAAAGGGAAATTCGTCTCCTGGGCGGGTAGAATAGCCTCTGTCAAAATGGTAGCTATACCGAAAATTCAATATCTATTTAGAACCCTACCAATACCATTACCACACAATTACATTCGTAACCTACAGAACATCATCAGCGAGTACATCTGGGAAAATAAGAAACCACGGGTGGCAAAAGCTACAATGCACAACCCATTCGCCAAAGGAGGGATGGGACTACCGGATATTCGGAGATACTACAAGGCAGCCCACATAGCTCCCCTACTAGCAGCATCACACCAACATGAACCTCCAACGTGGGTCGAAATAGAAAAAAACTATGCAGAGGGATTCTCCATACCAGCGTTAGCCTGGATACCAAAACCGCAAAGACCCAAAACTACTGGAATGCTACCTACAACCAGGCTCACTATCTCAATATGGGACAATTACCGGAAAAGCATGGGCACCACGACCCTATACTCCCCCGCCCTCCCAGTAGAGTCAATGAAAGCTCTTATACCAGACTTCAACTACAAAATCTGGCACAGACATGGCATAAAAACCCTGTCACAACTAACAAGGGACTCCCACATGAAACCTTTCTCGGAACTCCAAACAGAATACCAACTACCGAATACAGCACTATTTTCATACAGACAACTATTATCCTGGCACACCCTACAATTCAAGCAAAAACCCACCGAGAGAACGACTACAAGCTGGCAAACCATAGAACAAATATGCACGGCGACCAAACGGACCAAAAAGCTAATCTCCACAATATACACATCTGAAGGACCTCAACCCAAACAACATTCCCCATCTTATGTAACAGCCTGGGAAAAAGATATTGGATATCAGATCACCAAAGAACAATGGAACAACATCTTCAAAGCACACAAACAATTCACCCTCTGCACGACTCACTTGGAGCTGACTCGCAAAATCCTTTACAGATGGTACCTGGTCCCCACACGCCTTAAACACAGCTTCCCCAACATGTCAGACGCATGCTGGAGATGCCATAAGGACAGAGGCACTATGTTGCATATATGGTGGCAATGTGAAAAAATTCAACAATTCTGGCAACAAATAGCACACCTAATTACTAAACACACAAATCTGAAATTACCACACAAACCAGAAACATATTTACTTCTCCTATTGCCACAAATATCACACAAACAACAGAAATATCTTACATACCACATCATAATAGCCGCGCTCACCAGCATAAGCAGAAACTGGAAACAAACATCACCCCCCTCGATCACACAATGTATCACAATCATAAACAGCAACAAAACATACGAAATTATGGCCAGGAGTACACAAAAACACCCTCAATACTGGCTTGAAGCATGGGAAAGATGGGAAACAAATCTTACCAACCCTGTAAACAGCACAGACAACCACCACGCAATATGAATCAATACCTCTCTGCACTGAGGTCACGATAGCACACCTTTCCCCCCCCCGTTTCCCCCCCCCCCAAAAAATGCAATCTAACTACCTGGTTAAAACAAGCAACGGAACAAATACTATGTCTGTAACTGTGATACCTTGGGCAAGGTGACGCCCTGCTACATCCCTTACAATAGGGCCTCCTCACCCCACCCCTCCCCACCCCCCCCTTTTTTTACCTTCTGTATCCCTCCTACAACTCCAGAATAGTGGAATTAAAGTGTACTTTTCCCCCCACCCCCTTTCTTTTCTGTACCCTATGTTACCGAAAATAAAAATTGTCAAATTCAAAAAAAAAAAATCTACTTCCTTACAAAACATGAAAGGATTGTTATAATAGTTTTGGAGATGACAGGAGAAAACTGTATTCCTAACACTAGAGCTTCATCTGTGCCATAGCCTCCCAATGCTATCCTATGGGAAAGAATCGGATTTGCTAAGATAATCAAGTCATCAAGACACGCAGTGCTGGAAAAAAAAGTGAGCACTATTAGAACTATTGTGTCAGGAATGCATGTTCGTATTCCAGACACTAAAGTGTTAAAAATAAAAAGATCGCCAATATAGCTATTTTACCACCTTTGTTAATTTTCTAAATTCTGCAATTCCAAATTACATTTCCTGACAATACCTGTTTTAGCGGAAAAAATGAAAATACTTTCAGTTGTAAGTAAAATGTACAGCATTAAAAATTAAAGGGGCACTCCAGCAAGCTTGAGTGGTTTGTGATCCAGTGAATCTTTGGGTGTCACCCTTCCATTTTCAAATGTTCTGACAAAAGTGGGCCTCATCCAGCAACCAGCGCAGGCCACCTCCTCACCTGCCGCTCAGAAAAATTTAAAGTTTCACTTCCTCATTGTCTGTCCAAAGTCTCTCAACCTTGGACAGTAATGACTGGCTGTGAGGATTGAGCTAACCCTCCCCCCGTTCTTGCAGTCTATCATTGCTATCAAAGTTGGATGGAAAATGTGGAAGTGAAGCTTTCACATTATGTGGGCATCAGGGAAGAAACCACGTTTAGGATGTCAGGTATTTGCTAAACCTCTCAAAAACAGTTAGGCTGCAAATGGGAAATCACACACAGAAGCTCCTCACCCTGCACAAAAACGACAGTCCTTATGGTCCATAGAATGCCCATGCAAAAAACTGACAGTGAAACTGTAAAAAAAAGACAGTGAAACTGTATGGAAGGTTCGAGTATTCATATGGTGATCACAGTCAAGAAACAGAGCTGATTACATTGGTTGTTTCAATTACCGGTTTTTCCATTAGACTAGAGCATTGGGTAGGTGTTCATGTGTCGTGATTAATAATTTGGATGTAAAGGGAGCAGTCGTCTTTGAACATAAGTCATTCAGACACAAAGCATCAAATATCACAGCTAACATGTCACCTTATGCAGAGGAGGAAATTACAATCCCCTGCATATTGAGAAGCTGCAAATAATTCATCAGAATCTCCAAGCAGTAAGCGGTCAAGTCAGCCGAGGAAAGCAAGAAAAATGAGAGCAACTCCTAAACACTTGTGCTGTTCCCTCTCTCTATTCACATGACAGTTCTGCGAGCTCTGCTATACGGCCATAAATCACAAACCCGCAGCCTGAGCTGGCAAATCGCTGGTAGCACTGCAGGGAATTGGGTTCATAAATATAAATACAAAAACTGTGGTAAGACTACATTTAGCATTTTGCTTCTAGGAAACGATAAAGTGGACAAGCAAAGGAAAATTATACTCACAAATAATGTTATGTACACCTACACTTATAATAAAGGTCAGTGGTCTGCTGTCACAGGCCTTTTTATATGTGTGCTTTGAGGCTTGGCTCTCTGGTATTTGCAAACTGGGGGGTACCGGTTCATGGGAATATTTAAAGTAATAGTCCTGGTATATCTGTTAAGCCCAAGCAGAAGTATTGTATCAATCAACCTCTTAAAGAGGAACTGTTACTTCTAAAGATTTTACACCACTGAATACTAGAGATGTCGCGAACCGTCCGCGAACTTCTCGCGAACGGTTCGCCACGAACCGTTCGCGGCAAACTCCGGTCAGCTGACACATCCCTGCCAATCTCCGGCAGACCCTCCCTCCCAGACCCTCCCACCTCCTGGACAGCATCCATGTTGAAGGCAGCTTCAACATGGATGCTGTCCAGGAAGTAGGAGGGTCTGGGAGGGAGGGTCTGCTGGAGATTGACCGGGATGTGTCAGCTGACCGGAGTTCGCCGCTCGGCGAACCGTTTGCGAGAAGTTCGCGGACGGTTCGTGATATCTCTACTGAATACAACTATGAAAATCACCTATAAATTATGTTAACCATTTATTTTGGAGATGTGACGTTTTGTTTTTAAATTGATATTTTTGGGACACTAGTCAATAAAACAACTTAAGCAGTTTTGGTGTATATATCATGCCCCTGCATTTTCACTGTTTAATTCTCTGCCATTTAGGAGTTAAATCACTTTATTTCTGCAGCCCTAGTAACACCTCCTTGCATTTGACTTACACAGCTTTCCAAACCACTTCTTGTAAATAGTCATCTAATGTTTACACTTCCTTTATTGCAAATTCTCTTTAATTTAGGATTTCTCATATCCTGCTCTGTTAATGGCTTGCAAGACCTTGCCCTGGCTTTGTCTTGTCTGAACAGGACATACTTAAAAAAACAAGAGAAATCTCAATGTATCCTTCCTGGTAAAATATTTTATAAATAAATAAATAAATTTACAGAGCAGGAGATAAAAACTTTTAAAGTAACACCTGATTGAAAGTAAAACCATTTTGTTTTCATGCAGGTAGTGTCAGTCACAGCTTGCTAGACCTCGCAGGAGTCTCCTGTTTGTAATGAAAAGTTTTTATCTCCTGCTCTGTGAATTGAACTTTAAAGTAAGTTCATGCATACTGTGTCAGTCACAGCCAGGTGTGGTGTGGCTAGGACTGCATAAACAGAAACAAAAGGGCTTTAACTCCTATTTGGCAGAGAATTGAGCAGTGAGGCTGCAATGGTATTATCTATACACTAAAACTGCTTCATTGAGCTAATATTGTTTTGTTTTGGTGAATATAGTGTCCCTTTAAGCATTTATCATATTACATCATAATAAGGTTCAGACAAGGCACAGCCAGGGCAAACTTTGCAAATGAAAAAAGTAACATTGTTTGAATGAATGAGAGGGAGCTAAAATGGAGGAATCCAGTGGAAAAATAAAGAGGTATGGATTCCTACATGTGATTTTAATTTTCCCATTTCACAAATTCCTATCTGTTATATATAGGGATAAGTAAATATAATATTAAAGGCACCACGAGAATCTCTACTGTGGCAGTAGTGGAGATGGAGAGCAGACTCCAGGTAAGAATTTAAACATTTCTAAAACAATGTAAAATGGTGGGAGGGGGTGCCAGCGCACTCTTGGCACCATAACCACTACAGCGCACGGTAGCAGTTATTGTGCCTGGAGCATTGGTGTGGATTAATTACACTGCTCAAATGGAATGTTATACTAATGCTGTAAAAAGTGATTTACCAGTATAATCATTTAATTAAGCTGGTTAATACTCTACGAATATGCAAATACTACTGCTACTAACAAACGCGGGTTAATCTTGCATTACGTTTAGCTTGTTCATAACTTAACAATTAAAAATTGTGCTGATAATCTTATGCCATAAATGTACAGCTACTGTGTTCACATTTTTTAAATATGCTGCTGTGGCATTTACAAATGATTTGTTACTCCATGCACAAAGAAAAATAAAGAATTAAAAAAAAAAAAAAGTGATTTACCATTATCAAAATTGGTATTCCATGACAGCAGGATGTCTACTACGGTATAATCCACTCTTAACCCTCCAAAATTGCGTGAGAACCCAGTTTTGAATCACTCTTCAAAGTCAATTAAATGTCTGATGTGTTCATATTGGTTTATTCACTAAACCTGGGACATGTGATAAAGGAATTGGAAGCTTAAAGAACCACTATAGTGCCAGGAAAACATACTTGTTTTCCTGGCGCTATAGTGCCCTGAGGGTGCCCCCACCCTCAGGGACCCCCTCCCGCCCGGCTCTGGAAAGGGGAAAAGGGGTTAAACTTACCTTTTTCCAGCGCTGGGCGGGGAGCTCTCCTCCTCCGATCCTCCTCTTCTCCTCCCATGCGGCTGAATGCGCACGCGCGGCAAGAGCTGCGCGCGCATTCAGCCGGTCACATAGGAAAGCATTCATAATGCTTTCCTATGGACGCTGGCGTGCTCTCACTGTGAAAATCACAGTGAGAAGCACGCAAGCGCCTCTAGTGGCTGTCAATGAGACAGCCACTAGAGGAAATAGGGGAAGGCTTAACCCATTCATAAATATAGCAGTTTCTCTGAAACTGCTATGTTTATGAAAAAATGGGTTAACCCTAGCTGGACCTGGCACCCAGACCACTTCATTAAGCAGAAGTGGTCTGGGTGCCTAGAGTGGTCCTTTAAGGACTAAATGGCAAAGCTGCAAAAGTAGCATAGCTGTATATTTTTGTCAAATTCACTGTTTTGGTTTAAACTGTTACATTCCCTTGTCAGTCCTTTGAAATTCGCTGTTTAGTGATTAAACCTCATTCACACAGAAAAAGGAATCCTATTTGAAATCAGTCTGCCTCATTATTGTTTGATAGTTCATGAGAAAAGATACACCTTCTGTAAGCCTGACCTTCAAAATAAGATAAGACAGCTTATTTAGCAGTCTCGTGACAAGAGCTGTTTGTACATCATTTGTATTTCTTGCTCAAACCACACATGCCCTGGATTTCTGCTTTGTAAGGGTGTATGAACTTAGAGCTACAAGCTGCAATGCAGTCCTTTTCTTTGAGCTATTTTTCATCTGTACTTAACATCCAACGATCCGATACGCACAATGACAGTTCTTGCACCAGACTGCTGCTACGGGCTACACCAGGGTTAGGCAACCTTCAGCACTCCAGTTGTTGTGGACTACATCTCTCCTGTGCCATAGTTATAGCAGTAAAACCATGATGGGAGGTGAAGTGCACATCTGAAGTGCCGATGGTTGCCTAGTCCTGGTCTACACTATGGTTCCTGACACCCCAGGCAAACCACAGCATTGGTGTCCCCATATAGAGAATACATAGACAACTGAATGTCAGGTATTTTATACATTTAAAATAATACTATTGGGGGGCGTGGCTTGACCGGGAACCAAGATGGACGCGAGTCACTAGCGGTCCTCACCGACCCCGATACCAAGAGCTAACAAAAGCCACGAAACCGCGAATTCGCCCTCTATACTTATACCCACCATTGAGGATGGACAGGAGGACACCCAGGAAGCAGCCCAAAAAAGCCGCCGATGCAGCAGCTACCGTGCGGGATCTCTTTGCGGCATGGCCGCCACGAGGCCCAAGATGGCGCCGAAAACGACCTGCGGGTCTCAACCACCCCCACGGACGCTGGCACACCCCAGATGCAACAGTCACCAGCACCGGAGACGGCACATATCCTCACAGAGATGGCGGCAATGAAAACTTTTCTGGCCCGGGAGATAGAACGCAGCTCCAAAGCGGTAATGGCGGAAATTCACTCGCTGGGGGTGCGGACGACAGAGCTGGAGCAACGGGTGGAGGCTACAGTAGAGGCACATAATACAGCAATAAACCATATTAACACGCTTACCGCGCGTGTAGAAGCAACAGAAGCGGCCCTAGAGGACCTGGCAAATCGCACGGGCCGCAACAATATACGGGTAAGAGGCCTGCCTGAACAGCCTGACGAGGGCCCACTCGCAGCAACAATACTTGCCATCCTCAAGCCTCTCCTCCCAGACGTCCCAGAAGAACACTGGCACTTGGACAGGGCACATAGAGCCCTCCGTGCCCGACGGGAAGACACAGCAAGACCCAGAGACGTCATAGTGCGCTTCTTACACTACCGAACAAAAGAGGCAGTACTCAGGAGGGCCCGAGACACCCCGATCACCTACAAGAACACAGCGCTCACCTTATTCCAGGACCTGGCCCCCGTCACGCTCCAGCGCAGGCGTGAGTGGCGTCCAGTCACGGAGCTGCTCCGAAACAACTCGGTGCGATATGCGTGGGGCCACCCCTTCAAATTGATGGTCTTCAAGCAGGGTAGACCTCATGTTCTCCTGCCAGGAGAAAATCCTATACCGTTTCTACGCGAACTGGGAATAGCGCCCCCCAACGACCTCAGATTGCCTACGACCGCGCTCCCAGCACTCCGCACCCTGCCGAGAGACTGGCATATGGCCGCGGGCCAATAAAACACAAACGAACAGCAAAGAAAACCCCCCAAAAAAAAAAAAACACTCACCCTAGCTGCCACCCACAACGTTTTATTCACCCGCTCTCTTTCAAGACAACTTCACCAGGGACTCTCAGGACTCAGAACGCAACCAGCAAGACGCCACCGGAGAACATTTCGCAACCTGTCAAGGCGCAGCGCTGAGCTCAACAACTGCTAGGAGACCACCCGCCAACCACATCAGAACCAGGACTGGGGACAAACATTTCCAGCTGCAACAACAAGGCCGCTACCCCGGCCTGCGAAAGACACAAATGGACTGATGGCCAGCCATGCGTCTGCCACGGCGGCCCCGACATCTCTCATCGGAACTGTAATGTATTTTTGGACTCATATATATAGGTTGTGGGGCACAGACAGCACACGCAAGCTCCGCTCACACACACTTAGAGAAATGGAATACAATAGGATTGACAGACAGAAACCCATCCCTATTACCGAAACACAACAAAAAATAAAAAAAAAATAAAATTAAAAAATAAAAAATAAAAAAATATTAAAAAAGGGAAAAGGAGAAAAGGAAAAAAAGAGAAGGGGAAATACCACCCACATAACTTACTAACACGACGGAGATCCACACCCGAGACACGCACTCCAGCACAGACAGGGGTTACACTAGAAACACATTAGGCCAGACATACAGCTGGAAAGGAGAGCCACACACCGTAGACGGACAGCCTAATGTTTCACCAGAGTACCTGATGTTTATGTTTAATTGTATGCAAATGTTTAATTGTAATGCAAACTGTATGCTAATAGCCCACACTCACGCCTACTTATGTAGCCCCTATCCCTTACCCCCACCCCTTTTTCTTTTTCTTTTTGCTTAATTCACTTGCTTATTATCAGAACATACGTTGAGGGAAGGGACGACAGCCCGAACAGAGATGCTCGGGAG